CTCAGTAATCAAAGTGCACAGACACACAAGTCATCTTATCATCCTCCCATCCCTGTGGCACACAGGACTGCACTGTTAATGACATGACGAGTCATCGGAAACTCAAACCACATGTGAATGAAGAGCACTGGATTTAAGGAAAAACATGAACTTAAACTACTGGATACATGTGGACAGAGACGAATTCAATACTCACTGCCGAGCTACCTTAAGTTGGATAGAATCACAGGGTTTGAAAAATTATAAAGCTACTTGGAGGAAATAAACATCACAATAGCCTCAGAATTTCATTTCAGAAATGTGATAAATATTACTCATGCTTTATTTCTGTGTCCATATCTGGGGGCATACAGCACCTGGTGTATCTATATTATCCAGCATCTGTCCCTTTAAGGAAAGAGGCCTATTTGCTCAGTGACCAATTTGCAGGTTTTTTTGTTTGTTTGGTTTTTTTAAAGGAATTAAAATCAACTCCACTTTTTGTCAGGATTTATTAGTCCAGCTCCACTAAATATAAATTTCATTCTGGGACATATTTCACAAACCAAACACGTACTGAATACTTAATATTTTATATGTAAACGTTTAGGGCTTTCCCTAAGCTTAGTTTACCCTTCTGTTTTAATACACTTATGCCCTCCACACTCAGCAGTGAAATAGGTATCACAAATTATGCTGGACTAAGTTCTGGGTCACTGTCAATTATTGGTGACTTGCTTATTCAACAAACGTACCCACAACTTCTATCAGTGTGGCACATTTTGAAAAGCAGATTAATCGACAGGAAGTAAAGCATGCTGCCTCCACACCACCACAGGAGGATCCCTGCAACTCCGGGGCCTTTTGTGTCTGTCTCGCTTACGTGGCTTGTCCCTGCATGACTTTGAAGTCACCCGGATCTAAGAGCCCAAGTCTCCTTTATGAAGCTGTAGAAATCATCACTGAAAACCACCGATGATATAAACTTGAAGAATTAAAATATTCCCATAAATCATACAAATAAAACAGACTGCGAAATTGCTATGCTTATTAAATACTGAAAAAAAAAACAAACAAAACCAAACCAAACCCTGGGATAACAAAGAATTCATTAGTTACTATATTCTGGATTGAAATACAAAATCTAACTCTAATGCAATAACTGTAATTTACTGAGCACCTAGGACATGCCAGGCACTTGGTATTAATTACCTTTAATTCTCATAACAAGCCTGTAAGATAAGAATTCCCCTTTTTACAGTTCTGAAAAGGAAGGTTGGAAAGTTTTAACAACTTACTTAGAATCACAAAGGTGGTACATAGACAACTCTTTTTTTTTTTAAAGTCTACTTTGGTAATTTTAATAAAAATGCCCTTGCCTTCCTACTTTTAAATTCTAGCTAAAGAATCATTTTCTATCAGTTCTATAGCTGGCATTTAAATGAAACTAAAATATATTCATCTTATATATGGACTACTTCTGCCTGAGATGAGAAAGAAAATAAAATAGTATTCTATTCTTAACTCACCCCCATATTTACTTGTTATTTTAACATGATGTGTACAAATTTATTATATAATAGCTTTGCCTAACTTAGCATGAGTGGGCAATTAATTTTAAAAGTAAAAGCATGTTTTATTTTATGAGACAAGAAATGGGTGAAATCTGTCTGCATTTTTTGTTAAATTAAGATTTTGAATCTGAAGTAGATAGGTATTTTTAAATGACTTTTTTCCCCTACTTTATGTAGATCTTAAAAATGGCAGAATATAAAAGTTTACTATGAATTTTCATGAGCTCTGGCACTTTCAGAGTTATGGACGTGGTACAACATTTTATTGTGACTGACAGTATAATGCTGCTATAATAAAAATTTCCTGTCAACTTGTTCTGTCCTGAAATGCCTGGAGCACTTCAGTTTAAGTGTCAGATTAAAATATACGATGGCGAGAAGAACAGGCTCGGCACTGTCCCATCGGTCCAGCAAGGGAAACGGGGCGGCGCCACACGAGTGTGGGGGCAGAAGTTTGTTTTCCTAATTACTTAAGAATAGACTGTTCGCATGCCTTCCTGATGCCATCTATTTCTGTAGCACAGTTTTCCTGTGGATGATTTTCACCATGTGCGGTAAGTAGAGTTAGAGTCTGACGTAAATTTTCAATTATTTCCAGTGGAAATCTTCATTTCCATTGGGAACTAGGTGTTAGTCATGGGAGTGGATGTGAGGCTGATCCTACCGTGACATCATTTATCTAAATGACATCCATCTTAGAAATTCATTTCTGTGGGCTCCAAGTTTTAGAAATCTCATGCCCTTTTCCCCTTCCAAGGTCTGTTTGTGCTTGTCCAGAAGTGCATTTACCTCCAACGCCAAATACTCCGCTGGTACCTTTCTTGGTACCCCCTTCAGAACTCCCGTGGTTACTGCCTTCCTCTTCCCTCTCCTGTGGACACCCTTTCCCTGTCCCCTGGGCTTAGACAGGCTCATTCTTAAACCCCAAACTAAACAAAATCCTCCCCCAACACTTCTTCCTCCTCTTTCTTCCCTTCCTCTGTCAACTTCCTAGAATACCAGTCTAGCTCTATTTCTTTATTTCTTTTTTTAAAAATTTTAAGTAGGCTCCATGCCCAGTGTGAGGCTTGAACTCACAACCCTGAGATCAAGAGTCACACACTCCTCCAACTGAGACAGCCAGGCGCCCCTATTCCTGCATTTCTTGACATCCCTGTAACTGGGCTTCTACCTTTAAGGCCATATGGCATTCCTGAAGACAGTGACTTCCTGGCTGTCATGTCCTCTGAGCTTTTTTCAGTACTACCCACAGGATATTCTCTCCTTAAAGCCTTCTCTTCTTCCAGTCCTGATGGCATTTGTAGGTCCTTGGTTTTTCTAGCACTATACTTTTTTCTAACCCTCGGGGTTTTCACACTATTCTTTCCCCTCCCGACCTGTAAATATCCACATTTCATGCTGAATGATTTTTGACACTGGCTATGCATCAAAATACCTTGGCACTTAAACAGATTATTATTTGGGCTCTACCATAGCCCCACTGATTCAGATTCTCCAAGAGTAGAGAGAAGGTGTATTTTTTTGAGACTCCCCCTGGTGATTCTGATCTCTGCCTACAGGTATAGGTGTTCCTCCAGATCCTATTACCTTCTCTCATTACTCTCTCTCCTGGAGATTTCATGATGTTTTGGCCTTACAAGTTATCACTCTGCTGAGGTAATTATTCACAAGTTCTGGACTACAAGGGAAAAAAAATCATTCTGTGGCTAAGTTTGGAAAAGTCTGAACAAGAGAGAGGTTATTTTACTGAAAGACTTCTCGAGGCCATACATACGCTTCATACCTCTAGGACACTCTAGGCCCTCTTCACTTCATCAGAAAGGGTTGCATGCATCCAAATTGATCTCCTACCTCCTATAATCTACTTTAAGCATCACTGCCAGGTTATCAGTATAAGGCACAACTCTACTCTTATAGCCTCTCCTCGGAAGTCTTCAGTTACCTTTGGATCAGGGTCAAGTTCAAATTCTCTAGCTTGTCACTCAAGGCCTCAAAAGGCCTGGCTTGAACCTTTTCAACTTGTTTCTCTCTCTCATTATCCGATAAAAAGTGTACAGACTTTGAAGTCAGACATGCTTGGGTTTGAATTATGCTTTACCTTGGGTAAGCAATTAATATCCTGCAAGTCTCATATGCTTATAAATGAAAGAAAGATAATACTGTTTCCACCTGAAAAGGTTATTTTGAGGATTATAAGTTGGTCCTTCTCATACCCCGGGTACAAGTCCTTACTCTCACCTGCTAAAAACCAGTGGCTCTCAAATTTCAGTACATATTCTTATTAGCTGGGGTACTTGTAACAAAAGGTGATGCAGGAGCTACCCCTTGACCTGGACTTGGTAAGTCTGTGTGTGGAGTTGGCAGGTCTCTAGAACTGCACTGTCCAGTATGGTAGCCACTAGCTACAGGTGGTTACTGAACACTCGAAGTATGGCTCGTCTGAATGGAGATGTGCTGTAAGTGTAAGATATCCAATTTTAAGACTTAATATCAAAAGAATAATGCAAAATATCGCATTATCGATTACATGTTGAAATGATATTTTGGCTCTATGAGTCTAAATAAAATATGTCATTCATATCAATTTTACCTGTTTAATTTTTTAATGTAGGTACCAGAAAATTTAAAATGATGTATGTTCCTACATTATATTTCTGTTGAACAGCATTGCTCTAGATGCTTCCCCAGATGACAGGAGGCTCCCCCAGATGATACCTGTGGTAGGTATCCTCAGATCACTTTCTAAGAAACAATATATGAAATTCTAAGCTCTCTGAAAGAACTGACACCTTTACATATTTTTATATCCCCCACAGTGCTCTGAACATTGTGGGTAATTAACTTTATACTAATTGAATTTAGAGGCACTTAAAATGTTGTTATCAAAATTCGTAAAAAGAATTTTATATTAGGAGTTGTTTTTTTTATCCCCAGTTCCTAAGGAGTTATTTTTGAATTTACATTTCTTAAGTGAAACAAAAGAAATTTGAAACTATAACTTTGATTTGTTCCCAAAGCAATAAAAATATTTTTCTAAAAGAACTGGTGTTTTTCCCTATGGTTATTTGACTTCACACAGACATAGACTATTTATTTATCTGACTAGATTCCAAAATTGTTGAGTATCATCATACTCAAGTTCTTCATTTAAAACCAGCGGTTAAGAGTCCCCCAGGAATGTGCGCTAAATTTTATGCCACAGTAATTTAGCCAGATGAGGGAAAAAAAAGAGACTTGTCTGGAGAAAGAGGGTCTCTTTTTAAGGGAATGGCCGACCGCCCTGGAAATAGATTGAAAGAAAACTAAAAGGGACATAATTAGAAACACGTAAGCCACTGTTGGGATGCAGAATCATCTTGACTTTCCCAACTGTTAGAAGAGAAATGGCCGCGAAACTAGGAAGACCTTCCAAAGATGGTAAGAATGAGCGACGCTCTCCCCACTCACCTCATTGCCACATTGCTACCGTCAATGACAACTGGCCTCAGATTCTCCCCATCGTCCGCTGCGCTCTCTTGCATCGGAGAGTCAGACCGCTGAGACTCCAGGGAAGACGAGTCCCGCGGGACGCTGGTCATTGTACTCACTGTTTGCTCAGCCTCGCTTTTATTTCCAAGCTTGACGAGCTCTCCCAGGATGTCGTTGATTAAAGCATCGGTACCGAGTTTATTGAGCACGAGCTGAACCTGTTCTTCCGAATAGCCTAACTTCAGCGCAAACTCCAGTTTTGTTTGGTATTCTCGCACCACATCAGGGGGCTTCTTCACTTCCTTGGACGTCGTCTGGGACTCCTCAGGTTTAAAGTCCTGCAAAATGTCGCTGCGTTTGAGTATGTGAGGCTCTAAGCGGGGAGACCTACACAGTTGTCTGTGAGTCTTGGTTAATAAGCATGGCTCTACTGAAACGCTCCTCAAGTGTTCTGACTCATTATCAGAATGTGTGCTTTCTTCGGAGTCACCAGAACTCGTATTCTCTTCAGACACCTCTTTTTCTTCCTTCCCGGAATTGACTTTATCCATTGTTGGCTTCTCTACCATTGACCAAGGTACAGATGTACTTAAGTGTGGGTCAGTACTCTCCACATAAAGGTGGCCCAGGTTGTGCCCCAGATGATCCTTCAAGCCCATGAAGCTGTTACGTGTACTTGACTCCACTTTGCTATTTTTTCTGTATTCCTGAATGCAAAGCACCCCGTATTCCTAGAGAAAAAAACATAAAACATTTAGAATTTTGTATTTACTGGTTCATTCCTGTTCCAGTAAAGGTGAAAGAATATCGCCCAACTACCGAATATTCAACTTTGCGGTTTCTCTACATCTTTTCAACCCTCGTAACACCTTTGCCCCAGATAAGATCATGCCCTGTTTTTCAGATGAAGAAGTTAGGAAGTAGAATGTCATGGAATTCCTCTGAGGCAACAAAGAAAATAACTAGTGGAACTGGATTTTTTTTTTTTTTTTTTTACCCAGTTTTGCGTGACTCCCAAACCCGTGCTTTCCCCATTCTATCATGCTGATTCTCAACCTTTCGTGGAAGAGATCTTTCCACTGTCAGAAAGGCCAATGTTTCCAGAGTGACACCTACATTATTACCAAAAAGCATGTTCTGGATAAACTGTGATAGGTTACATACATTTTCTCTAAAAGAATTCATAAACATTTGTAAAGATTATTTTGAAGGGAAAGCCATATGGAAAGAAAGGCAAACGTTAACTTACTATAATTGGAAAATTGACATTAATTTGGATCAAGCTTAACAACAATCTAAAGACATTCCAGATATAATTTAGGTGGAGTGCTAAAAGAGCACAGTTCTACAACAGCCAACAAAGAACTAAATAATCACAAAGTGAATTATATTCCATCGAGGAGATGCATAGTTTTGCCCTAACAATCTTTATTTTGTGGATACAGAGCACAGTAACAGAAGACAAATTTTAATGTTATGTTACCCTTACTAAGTGTCAGGGACACTACCATCTATTTCATTCCAGGGGGAAAAAGTGCTTTTATTCTCTGCACATTTATAGAAAGCAGAGAAATGGTACAGTTCACAGAAAAGTAACAGCAAATAAAGTACGTTGAATACGTGTTATCTTTTTTTTAAAAGATTTTATTTATTTATTTGAGAGAGAGAGAATGAGAGATAGAGAGCACGAGAGGGAAGAGGGTCAGAGGGAGAAGCAGACTCCCTGCTGAGCAGGGAGCCCGATGTGGGACTCGATCCCGGGACTCCAGGATCATGACCTGAGCCGAAGGCAGTCGCTTAACCAACTGAGCCACCCAGGCGCCCCGAATACGTGTTATCTTAATTTCCTGAATTTAATGTAAGAAAATACTTCTGTATCACATCAGATAATTAGTTACCCATTATCCACATTTGGTTAAAAAGTCATCTTTTCTCCCACTTTGCTTCCCCCCGCCCCAAGGAATGCTTTCACTGTTTAAAACACTTTTGCTGTTTTGCTAATTTTCCTTAAAGTCTACTGGGAATTCATTATTCTTTCTATACCAGGAACAGGTTAGCAGAATAAAATTATCTGCTCTTGTGCTTTAGTGTGAGGACTATATTCACACCAGTGGCTTACTTATTAAGGCAACTCTGGTGTTCTATCCAGGGATAACATTAGTCAGGCAGTGGTGGCTGGATTTGAGACTGTCATAAAACACCTATTTAAATCATCTAAAAAAGAAAATTGCAAAAACATTTTATTCTAAAGCTCTTCAACATCTTATTTACACTAGAAAGGAGCTATTATATAAATGTTAAGAGAAAATGCTAAGTGTTTTTCTAAGAAGTCACACATTTGAATGCATCCTTGGTGAACTTTAATTAGAGAGGGGAGTATTTCTATAATGAAACAAATTATATTCAGTATGGTAAATACTAAAGACTAGAACATGGAATCTTTAGCTCGATAACACCACATTTAAAATTTCAACTCCTACACATTCTACAGGAGTTTCTTCAGGTTTTATCCTTTGAGAAGACAGATAACATTGTTCTCTTAATGCAGCATTCCTTTATTAGTTTTAAAGAAACATCAGGCTTTCCTGGCTCCAGACTGCTCAACTGATAAAGAGAAATACTCCTTAGCAGATGCTCTATTAGGGAGCTGTATCCATTTCAATTTTTTTTTTCCTATTAATATGGATATGCATGAGCCCAATTATTTAGAATTAAAGGCAGGGATTTTGAAAGCAAATCTTTACACTTTGTGATTTATTAACTACTGTAATATACTGATACCATAATGCAAGTAACAAATCACAACAGAATCCTAATGAAGGGATACAGTTAAAAGAAAAATCTGCACTGTGGCCTTCGCAGAGCTCCCACCAAAAGTATCTTGAACAAGGAAAACCTATTGGAAGCTGGGCTGCCTGGCAACCAGAAGCTGGTTGCTAAGCTGCACTCTTTTAACACGCCATCATGAATGCTAGCACAGTGAAAGAATAATTTGGTATGAACAAAAGCCCATAAAAGAGACTGGGACTTAAGTGCGTCTGGTTTACCCTCCGAGAACAATGCAGCTGCCAAACCAATCTGGAAGCTCCGACATCATTGTTCCGTAAACCCCACAATCTGCTCCGACTGCAGGAAGTGTATTTAATGGGCAACATTTCTGATCTCCCCTGAAAAGTTTGGGTTTTGCAGAAGTGCTGTTGTGAGATAATTCTTCAAGATAATGACTCACTGACCAAATCCCTGACTTCAACTAGGAAATATTATTTTAATATTGGGCTGAAGTGTTTTCCTTTTGGACTGTTTCAAATAAGATGAACACTGCATGAAAACACAGCCACTGGGGAACATGGAAATGAAATGTTATGTTTAGAGAAGAAGTGAAATCATTAATTTTCACAGTTTTCAAAGAAACAAAACCAAATACTACAAAGTTTTTAAACTAAAAATTATCCACCCTAAGCAAGTACCTAAATCTTTCTGTATCACTTCAGTCTAATAAAAAAAAGTGTTCATGGTACTATGTAAATCTGCTCTCTTATATAATTTTATTATATAGCTATAATGATAAAACAGGGAGGGAAAAATGAGATTATCAACAATTTGCTTTTTATAATATTAAATCAGAGAAAACTCATTTGTATACATGAATGTATTTAGTGAATACCACACACCTTTAACTTGTAATTTACAATTCATCTAATTATAGATACTATGTAAGTAAAAAGTTTACAATAACTGGGCTAACATGATTTTTAATACCGATCTTAACATCTAATTTGGTTAGGCACAATATTTTTTCTTTTAAGATACTCTGGTTGAACTTTTTCCCCACAGTGACAGGCCTCTCTTCATGTTCCATACTTCACCGGTTACTTGAGAGAAAGTTACCCAATGTCATCTTGTCCTCAACAAGCAGTTAAATAATTGTTTTTAGCTCCCACCGATCAACAGACTAAGTATGAAATAGTACAAATATGGGCAAAGGAGTTCAGTTACCAGGCCTAGATCTTCTCCGTTACATAATCCAAATCTGAAATAACCTTACTTGTAGTAACCAGATGGGAAACATTTGGTTTTTAAAACTAATCTGAAGTACTTCCTTACCCACTTGAAATTAGTAAAAGATTGCCCTGACTCAACATGACACTTAAAATTTTTTTCCCCACAGTATCTTGAAATCACTCAATAAAAGATTAAACGCCAGTCTTAAGATTTAAGAGCTGAAAAAAAATATTTTCATAGGCTGCAGTACTTGTTAAAGTAACGTCATGTGAAAAACTTACAAGGAATTGTTATAAGAAATCTTAGGACAAAGAAAAGTAGAGGATCTTTATTTTTGCTCAGTGCCTTAAAAATGATCAATATAATGTTGAAAAAGATAGCAAAGACTCCAATAACATCACCAATTTCTTATTACAGGTAAGGTAGAAAATACTTTTCTCCTTAATTTCTAAATCATTTATTAGACTTTTAAGTTTTGCATTTACTCAAATGCAAATGTATGTAAGTCATCTTTAAATCAATCAACTATTAACTAATAAGGATAATTTTCCTCATTTCATGAAGCAGCAGCATAGACAAAATTTCACACACAAAACAGGTCAGTGTTTATACTCCCATAGTTATCAAAAAAACTACCAAACTGCAAAAATTATGGCTTAACTTTTAAGCTTTCTATCAGGAATCCATTGTAATTGGCCTTTACACACACTATATTCATGAACACAGAAAGCAGTGGGCAAAAATATAACGGTCTGAACACAGATTTCTACACTTACAAAACTAAGGATTCCCTCCAGATACTGTACTGGAAACTAAAATAATTTTTCTGGCTAAAGGCCTAATAAGTTAAAAAATCAAATATTTGTTGAAAAAGACCCAAATTTTCATGCTAATTTTGTAGACGATGAAGTGTAACTAATTATTTTAATAGTCAAAAAGAAACTTTGTATTAGCTGAAAGCAGGCTTAGGATATGGTTATCTACTAGAAATTTGTTGCAGGTACACAAATTCCCCCATTTGGTGAGATCTCTGAAAGTTCTCATTAGATGACTTGGATAATCCTTCACCTCAAATCCAGTGGGGGAAAAATTTTTTTATTTCTAAAGAGCCTCATATTAATTAGGAATATTAGACCACAAAGTTGTTACATCAATTTGTTTGTTTGTAATGTAAAGTTACAATGCCATAAAGCGGGTTCTGGTTGTTATCCAAATGGTAATACCATGAGAACAATGAAAATAAAATAATGAATATGTAATAAATACCCACTGCTGTAGTCTCTGTGTATTTAATTACCATTGTATTTCAGGGAGTGCTGTTGTCTGCATCCCTCTGGCTAACAAAGGAAGGATGTCCCTTTGAACAGATTGGTTAATGCTCTGGGGCAACAGATGTCCTACTGGAACTGCAGGAGACCAGCAACTGGTGGCCTGCCCATCTTCTGAAAACTTTCAATAGACTCATGCATATGTTCACACAATAGGGCATGTGGTAGAAATGAAAACCTCTTTTTAACCCTTCATGCTCGCTCTTTCCTTCCCAACTGATGGATGAAAGTCTTTGTCTCCTCCTCCTTTCCCCATTTTGGAACTCCTGAAAGCAGTTCTTGGAATGACACCTTCAATCTAATATTTGAAACTAATGCAGGGGAAAAAATTTAAGAAAAGGTGGGAGAAATTAGAAACTGCACGTGACTATCGAAACTGCTGACAAAGCAGGTGAATGCTTCATCATCATATTTACAATAAGCTGTCTGAAACATCTACCTGTGTATCAATCCATCTCCTCCAAGCTGGATTTTTAAGACAATGGAAAAAAATCTATCAAATCTTACTACCAGTTCACAGCGCCTAAGTCTGACAGTGACACTTGAAGAAACACAAGAATGTGATAAAACCCAAATTCATTGTTTATCAAAACATCAGAACATGTCAGAACTCATCCTTCAGTACCAAATGATCCCATGCCATGCCTAACGCCTTGCAAATGTTCGTGAGGCTGTAATTATTTATGTGACTCCAGACATAAGTCTACAGAGAGAATTTTCTTGTATTTTGGCGCCATGTAATCATTTGTAGCCTTTCACTGGAGGGGTTTCCTGTCCTTTACAGAGTTCAAATTAATCCTCTCAATATTTAGCAAAGTTTAACTTGCAAGGCGTGAAGTAGCACAGATACTCACGTTAGCAGGAAAATACAAAGACATTGGTTTCTGTAGCAGCCTCAGCAGTAGCTCCTTAACACAGTTTTAGCTGCAGACTTGCAGGCAGGCAGGAAGAACAATGAATGGCTGAACAGATGGAAATGGCAGTGTCTTTGCTTAACCTATTACCGAGTGGAGTAACAGCCAATCATGGGCCAGAGAGCTCACAATGAGTTGGCCGGGCAGATGCAAGCCAACCTCAGCACCCTGGGTCAGGTTCACAGGTTTCTAAGATAAGCAAGTTGATGTCATTCTCGGGGTCTGCCCCGGGCAGCATGTACTATTAACAAGGGGTGTGCTCCAACAATAGGCCAGACAAAGCCGACTCTCCGGCAGCTGCTCTTTGGGAGCCCAGTCATCAGGCAGCAGGCTGCCAACAAGAAACACCTGGCTTGGGCAGCCTTCGGCTTTTCCTCCTTGTTTTTCATGCGCGGAACAAAGAAGCCAATTATATTTTCAAGTCATAAAAGTTGCATGTTTCCAAAAAGTTGAGGCTATCCTCCCGGTCTATTAGCTTTTGGGTTTTGAGAAATAAAGGACATGAGGTGTGTCAAAATAGCAATTTGCTACCGCAGTGATCCCTTTTCTTTAATAAATGAGTCAGTAGTGAAATGGGACAGAAGGCTATAGTAAAACTATTTCCCTGGAAGCACCAGGAAATCCAAAATATTCTTAGATATTGTTTAATTTGTTGCAAGGCAATAAAATGAAAAAAAAAAAGAGAGAGAGGTAATGAAAGTAAGACCGCAAGAGACAAAGGTTTAAGAGCTTACAAACAGAATTTTAGAAAGTTCACTAAAAGCATAGCGTAGGAAGATAAAACAAGTGTGGTCCAATCGTGTGCCAAATGTGTCCTCTAAACTGTATCTTTAAACAGAACTATTTAACTTCAACCTAAACCACCAGCATAGCCCACCTTGTATGCCCAATAGCAATGTAAAATTCTTTTATGATGGATTCTAGTTACTCATGTCATTAAATAAAGGCTTTCATTATGTTTTAATATACAACATACTATACCTGTTAAAAGCATTTGATTTTTTCATAAAATTTGTTCAGATGTAATTAATACTCAAATTTCAGCTCAGGGACAAGTTAACTGTATGAAGAAGTAAGGTGGTATTTTTGGAGGAATATAAAAAAAATCGGCCCCTCGGGGAGGAAGCTTCTTACCTCCCGATTTATGTCCAAAGTTCCAGACCACAGTATTTATAATGCTAAGGACTACTTGCTTTTGAGGCCTGCATAAGTTCCATCTCGAGGGGCCTCTGATTATTACAAAAGTTCAACCAAAATTTAAACACCATCAGGTGGTGTTGTGAAAGGATCTCTCTGCTCAACGAAAAGTAAAAAGACGTCTACAGCTGTCCCACGACCTGGTTTGGTGAAAGAGCGCCCCCTACCCGCCCACACGGGCGCGCATCCACTCTTCATTCCAGTGCCCACGAGAAGGGCGAAGGGGAGAGCAGCTTTTACGACTTTCTGATACAGGTTGAATTACGCAGGGCCCAGGCTTTTCCAAGATACGAGATTCGGGTAAAGCACCCCAAACCATCTAAATCAATCTCTCTTTACATATATGCAAATACCGAGGCTACTCACGATTAGGGTCCCTTGTGAGTACTTGGGGAACAGGAGTATCTGTTGGGACTCCTGGCCAGTGGGGACTTAATTGTGACCACTCACGTGTAAATGAGATTTTCCCCGTTTACAACACAAGGGGAAGAAGGCCTACTCTACATAGTTGAAATTTTTCAGTTATCTCATGGAAGAAAACATTCCTTATGCGTACTAAAAGCCTAAAAAAAAAAAAAAATCACTGTTACCAGAAATAAAATAAAAATACCAAGTATGCTTCAGATCACCATTGGTCTGTATTTTTCCTCCAAAGAGCTGAATCTTTTATGAAAGTATATGATTCCCAAACTGTTAGAAAATTTCAAAACCTGGAAAATATTTTTTAACTGAATGTCATTATTATTAGGTTTGCATGTCACACTAATTTCTAAAGCAAAACTGTTCTTTTTCGACCAGGGGTTGCAGGAATGTTTCTGCCTTGGTTAAGCCTGTGGTCTGATGTCAGAAGCCCGTTAAAGATAAAGCATCTCTAGTATTACAGTTTATTGCAAATTATAAAGTGAATTACCCAGAATTCAAATTTTATGTCTTGGGTAAACATATGGACATAGAAACGAAGAGAGTTAAAATTTATTTTTTTTAAGTGGTGTGGTGGTATTTCTTTTTGAAATTTTATGAGTAAAAGGAGTGAGGAATATAAGTCAAGGCCAGTCAGTGAGTAAATGTACTTCTTTTGGTAAAACCGAGTTTGATTTAGTAAGATAAAAATAAAACACACGTTAATGCAAAACGATTCCAACAACTAAAACCTAATAAAACTCAAGCAACGCACTGACGAGATCAGAGACAGTGAGGTCAGTATTTATGAATTCATATTAAAACTTTTTTGTGTATAAAAAGTAAACTCTTTAGTATGAATTGCAAGTCTTCTCTTTTGCCCTGGGTTTTCTTTCTTCTCTTTATCCCTTGCTACTATAGTTACTACTTTATAGCTTTAGTTCGGGAGGAGGAGGAGGTATCTTCTAATTCCAGCCACCAGTGAACACAAAGGAAAGAAAACTACCCAAGGGCTCAGCAGGAAGCCTGATCTCTAGCAGTGGATTAAGCTTTTTTGCAAACAGCAAATAAAGGCAGTGATCTGAAAAAGCTAATCAGACCCTGCTGTGGTATTTAGACTACCTTGGTTGCTAGTATTGGATAATGTTAAGCACATTAAAACATCTGTAGGTGAAAGGCCCGGCTGGCTTTCCTAGTCACAGGCCCTAGTCCACTTCCCACCCTGGGCTGGGTGGGGGCGCCGCGGTAGAGGGCCGAGCTCGGTGGGCCCCGAGGACAGGAGAAAACCAGGCAGTGTAGGGTTCTGGGTGCACACGGACATCCGTCAGTGCCAACGGGTGTGTCTAAGGTCAGGAGCTTCAACCACATGAGAGGACCTTGTACGTCCGCTGAAATTTGAATGTAAACACGTGGGCTTTGCCTCTGCTGCTGGGAATCAATTCTCTTCATCGCTGGTGACCCAAGCCCACTTCCTGGTACCTTTCTCTTAATATGGATTTGTTCCCCTATTAATATACAATCTCTCCCGATCCTAACAATAACACCATGGAAGCAAAATCGTTCTATCAAACTTCCCCAACTGTCCCCCAAAGGTTGAAAGGTTAAAATTTCAGCAAAACCTTTTATTATTTTTGAGAATTAAAAGAAAGGAACCAACAAAAACCCTAATTTATACACACAGTGTAAGAGAATGGAGCAAAATCAATCGGGTACTAACATGTGCCCCCGGGCAGGTTTTATTTCTCTTTTATGACAAGGTGAGCTCCTGCAAGAGCCCTCAGCTCTTTGCAGTGTTCCTGTAACCCCCTCCACGGAGGCTGCTGTCAGCCGCTGTGGGCTGAGGGAGCTCCAGCCTCTCTGGCATGGGAAGCTCCTCCTGCAGGTCTCCTGCTCTGGCTTCAGCTTCCCAACTAGAGTGGCATCCCTTGGTGCAACCCACCCTCCCGGCCTCTGCCTCCTCACTGGAGGATGACTTATCCAGTGGGTGAGTCTGGGAAGAGGAATTTTGTAAGCAAAGCCCGGCCCCTTTCCTCTGCATTTTTCTCTTTGGGACCTGCCCAGGCTGCCTTGCTCCCCAGCACTGCCTGAGATTGGGTGGTTAAAGCTTTCTAATTTGGAGGGTTCAACGTCATTAAGTTCTTTAAGCTGGGCTCTTAAGTCATGTCCTGCAATAGTTCCATCAGAAAAGAGCTATTTTGATGTCCATCTGCCTGGCTCCTTTGTCTATTTCTCAGTTGGTTCAGAACTAAGGCAGGAAAAACACCCCCTCGAACAACATTCAACAAAAGTTTTGCTATAAAGAACTATTACAGAAAAAAAGTGATAAAAACACATAAATTAACTCTGATCAGACCACTTTTAAAACATTTATGAAGGAAAAGGTTAAAAAAATAAAGAAAAAAATTCCATAACAAAGAGGGAAGATAACGTTCCACAAAATAAAAATTCTATGGGTCTGACGATCTTTCAGGGCCACATCACTAAGAGCAAATAAACCTCAATTCTCTTTAGGGTTCAGAGACAAATAGTCAATAAAGCCACAAAAACAGTTATTTCTTCCCAGTAGTCTAAAAACTTTTCTGTAGTCATTTTGTGATACCATAACCCACAGCATAAGACTTCAATTATTTCCCAGTATTAACTTCCCATTCAGTATTTTTAAAAATTCATTAAACAACTAAGTCTTTAGAAAGATGATCTTCAATTCTCATTAAACTTGTAAATGATCAAGGAATTTCAGAAAAGCGCAGAGAATATAAAGGACATCCTAAATGCCAATGAAACAGGTTACTAGAACAGCTCACGTATAAGGGAGGAAAGGAGAGGAAATTGATGAGGGGGAAAAGGCCATAAATGATTTTAAAAAAGAGGTATAAAAAGCACATGATACCCATATTAATAAAATAGTTAAGTAAACTGAAACTGAGGAAAAGCTGACCAAAAGTAGGTAATTTTCTATAAAATATAGACAAGATAGTCTCTGAATTCTAACAACTTAGTGACACTTTGCCTCTTGGAGTACTGGTAATATTGGCAACCTCATCATCTAAGCCAAGTCAGAGCTGAACTCTTCTCTCCTGACGCTGCGGACCTTCAGGTCCCACGGTCTCTGCCATTCCTCGCCTTCTACCTGATGTGTGCTCGTTTGCGTCCATCATGCTCTCTCTGGGCTGTGCATCCCCAGCCGAAAGCCAAGGTCGGGCATGGGGGCTTGTTCTTTAGGCATTAAATTAGTCTACTTAGCAAACTAATTCAAACACTGCTTGGTCAGGAGCGTTGTGAAAAGAGAGATTGGCAGTGTCAGGCTAGAAAGAGTAACTATCAGATAGACTACAAGAAAGCTCTATCAGGAGGTCTGTCTCTTCTTACTAATGGTCTAGAAGAGCGTGTCAGAGTGTACTGTGTAAAGGAACAGGAAAGAAAAGCATGATATGCAGCAAGCGCTA